CCCTGGCGGCTTCTTACGGAATTGCATCAGAACTTCTGGTTTTGATATCTCGTAATCTGGACGTGCTATGGTCACGAATTTTGGATGGTAGGTAGCTCTTGGGCTAGGGAAGAAGTGACGTGAGCTTTTAATTTAGCCTCAGTCACCATTGTCGCCCCTCTACCATATTATACAAATAGACAATCAATCAATCAATCAATCAATCAATCAATCAATCAAGTTTGTATTTTTAAATACAAACTTTTAAAAACTAAAAAAAAACTTAAAAGAAAAAAAAACTTAAAAGTACGAAGTGTCGCTTCTATTTATATATCACCCCTACATTGACATAGATTCGCCCACGCTGAATGCCAGGGCAAAGCCCAGTGAAAGTGTCTTCTTGTCCAAGTGCGACAAGTATTTTTGACTGAAATTCAATTTTACGTCATAGGACATTCTCAAGAAGAATGAACCGTTATCAATGATAACACAATGAGGGAAATCAGTGAAACATTATGCAAAAACCTTTAAATGAATCCATATTGCTTTGCGACCCCTCCAACCTTACACATTGAAGTGTGGAAACGCTGCACTGTGTTATATGTTAGGAACCAGAGACAAACAGACAAACAAGATCGAACCGAATAGGATAGCTGGGAATACTTCATTGGAATGTCACAAGGCCTGCTCATTCCCTATATTGAACCACCGAGTGAGGGCAGCGAACATGTGTTTCATTTAGGGTCACCGGCGGTCATTTTTCACATATCAGTCGACACTGATTGGTTGCGGTGTTCATGGAATTTAATCATCACTGGTAAGGTTGAGAGAGAGAGAGAGAGAGAGAAAGAGAGAGAGAGAGAGAGGGAGAGAGAGATTTTACTGTCGAATTGTCTCTATTTTTTGTCAATTTTCTCGTGCAAATCATCAACAGAACGGTTTTGTAAGCTCCCCCTCTCTCTACTTGCTCCGACATAAGCAATGCTCACCCCCTCAACCGTTCAACCACACCCCCTACCCCGTATGGAGCGAGACCTGGATGGCAAGCAGACATGAACTTGGGTTAGCATATGAACAACTTCCACTTTCACCGCAGGGTCGGTAGTTATCTCTGTTTATTCAACATAACCTTTTGCTACCTGCGATGGATGCTTACCATTCTAGACTTTCCGTGCTCGGTACCATAAGGCTTGTCTCACGGCGTGCTTTGCAGTGTTACCGGTGTTTTTAATTGGCCATGTTGAGTTTACTATACGTGTGACATCCTCTGGGAGCCCCAAAACTGAAGCGAGCGTGCGAATAAAAAGGTTGGCTAACAAAGTTGCCTTTATTATGAAATCTTCGTGGTCATGAAGGTTGAATATATATGCCCACAGAAAATCGAAGATGAATTTCATTTTATCATGGAATGCTCTAGATATGATGTCCTACGTGATAAGCTATTTCTCACTTCAAATACGACAGATTTCAATAGACTTGTTGCTACAGATAGATTTGATTATATATTTAAATGCAACAGCCCACACAATGCAAAAATAGGTACTGTTTTGTTATTAGAAAGAATACTGATTTGCTGTCACATGTACCCATAAATAACTCCGCCTGATTGTAAAGCCTAAGCTAACTTTTGATTATTTCTTTTCTACATATAAGTTGTTAATTCTATGCTTATCTATTTTACTATGCTACTTATTGTTACCTATTTACAATGTACCCTGTACAAATGTCGTGCAATAAAGTTCTATCTATATGACTAAACGCACCGAGTATGGTAAGGCAAATATCTTCGTCTTTTCCTTTGTAATTGATTTTGGCCTTCTACGACATTAGTGTCGTTTTCCAATGTTCTTGTTGTAGTGTAGGGCATATACCTGCTCATTTTGTAGCTGCTTTGTACAATTTACAGTATGGCCGGAACCTTTTTTTAGGAAACATGCACGCGTACGTGTCTTCCATATAACCAAATCGACATGGCCTAAGTTTGAACCATAAATTCGAAATGGTCTAAACAGACTGTATCAAAGCGAAGGCATAAGTCAGATTTATCCACGTCTATGCTAAAGTGTCTTCCCAACTTACACTCAAATAAAGTCTAAATATGACAGCCAAACATTAGATCTGGATACTGGGAACAATGGATTTCATGTGCTTTACATCTATTTTAAGTGTGGCGGGACTAAGGGCAATCGAAGTACGTACATGCAATTATTTGGTCCCGTTTAGTTGGTTGACTGTGCAATAGCTCAATCGGTAGAGTGCTCGCTTTGTAACCAGGAGGTCGTGAGTTCAAACCCCGGCCGGGTCATACCAAAGACTTTAAAATGGTACACACTTCTGTCTCTGCTTAGCACTCAGCATATATGAGAAAGAGTGTGGGAAGGTCAAGCACACAGCACTACCAGCGGACTAGCCCCCCTGCTGTAGTGCCCTGCACAACTGTGTGTCGCCCAAGGGCTACGGAAATGGACATGGGCACCAAACCCTATGCTATGCATGGAGCACGGGTAGACCTTTGGTTGACTGTTGAAGCATCGTTGCATAGGGTCAATCCGTTCATCCCTATTCCTCCACCCCTTAATATCAGCTCCCTCGCCACTTATTTTCGTGATCTCAAAATACCTCACCTCCTCAAATGGACTACCCGAGATAAAAACGTCTGCGCAGTGCTGACGTCACAAGGATCAGCTGTTTCCGGCTGATAGCGAAGTGCGAGGAAAATCCCCAGACCAGACGGCAGGCCTCGAAATTAAAGCTTCGGTCACAACCCGCCGTACGTGCTTCTGCGTGCTGTCTACTTGCAAAAACGTGGGCAAACGCAGGGCATCCGTGCGTGGTGAGTACCGCCTCCGTACGGAATCCTACGGATTTGGGAGCACGCAGACACGCCGTAGAACTTTAAGTGCATGTAAAACTTTTTTCTGCGTGCGGTCTACGCCCCTGCGTGCGAGTACGGGCGACGCGCGTGCCCCGTACGTACCGTACGAAAGACGCACGTGTGAGTACGGCCTCGAGCTCCTTAGGGCCCTGTCACACTTTTGCGAATAGCCATTGCGTTTGAGTTGCGTACAGACATTTCTGCCGTACGCACAATACGCGCGGGTACTGTGACGCACATGTAGCGTATGAATAACGAATTCAGCGCATAGATTGCATATGACATCCGTATGGCGTTCGTATGCATTGCGAAGGCCAAGCGTATTCCGGACGCACTCAACGTGTGCCCACCGGATGCCTAACGCACTTCCGACGAATGCCATGCGTCTTGTGTGCGTATTCCCTGCTTCTTCCCGCTGTTTCATTCTGAGTCCTTCTCATCATGGACCGCCCTCAACTCAGATAAAATGTGTTTGTTTCCATTTTGCGCTAGCCCTGGTCAATTTCCTGTAATATCCTGTCTGGTAAATTAAATACACGTACCCGGACTTTATACAAACATAACAGTTATACTGTTAATAGCCTTGATGAATTGGAGATGTCAAGAAATACCCTCCCTTAATAATTTGAAAACAATGATAACACCCATACTTGCAATACAATTTACAATTGCGCATACACACAGATAGCATGGCCACTACACATCTCTGCGAACACTAATGTAACAATACAAGTGCAACTACAATATATATCTACAAACACCACATTACAACCACAGTTCAAAGCGGCTGCTGTTATAAGTCCATCGTATTCAGATGTTTCATGCTTTTATGCTTCTATATTTTAAAAAGGATTTTGTACCAATCTACGTACACTACACATTTTCTCGGACAAAACAAATAGGCAACTGGCGTATTATCCCCAATTACAAGGAACAAAAAGCAAATATTTTATGTTAAATATAGATATATTGATAATATGCAAAAAGGCCAGTCCTATCATACTTAAAATGCTCCAGGAGGTCTGTTAACCATGGGGTCTAGAGGAGCCGGTACCCCGGTTGTACCCCAGGTATTCGGCAAGTTTGCTATATAGATCTGTACGCAATCTTTGCGCTTCTCATTAGTTACAAATACGTACAATGCGCTGTCCTGTTGCAATACGAACGGTACTAAAGCGCTGTAAGTACGCAATGCATTTGTCCATTGTACGCAGCTTATGCACAGGTGCAGTTCCAGGTGCAGATCAGCGTATGAGTCACGTGTCCCCCACAAACGCATAGCATACTCATACCGTGCTTGACCGATGCATTGCGTATTAAAAACGCATGACCTGCGTAACGGCGTACGCAGCGTAGTTTTGGGCATGCTCAAAACTACGCTGCGTAATGAGTCGGGCGGTGCGAGTGCTGTGCGTATACCGGCGTTCACAAAACTTACACAAAACTACTGAGATGCATATGAAATGCGCAATTTGCGTACGACTGCGTATGAAAAAATTGTCCGTACGCAACTCATACGCAAGACGATTCGCAAAAGTGTGACAGGGCCTTTACG